ATATATATATAATATATGTCAGGCCTTAAAATTGCGCACGCCCACAAAATCGCAAAAAAACGACCACACCGAAAACTGGCAATAGGCAACGCTTTTACTGCTCATTGGTTTAGTGTTATCAGTAATTAATGGCCCTATAGTTATTGCCCTCACTCCGACGTTCACGGTGATATGTGACTTGTACAGCACAATAGGCGCAATCGTAGTTTTCGCACGTAGGCACACGTATATTTGCATGTGTATGTGGGGGGCAGGGGATAAAAAATAAAATAATTAGTGGAGTTTTTTTTTATGCTTAACTTTATTGCTATCACATGGGTAGCTAAGAAGCCCCCTATGTGATAGCTAATTTACATGACAGGTCCTCTTTATGGAGACATCAGGGGTCTCTAAGACCCCTAATGTTACCTAGGGACCCCCAGAGAATCGTGTACTGATCTTCCTTTGATCTCCTATCACAGAGCAGCCGTGCTGGTCCCGGCCACACCGGGCCCAGCGGATCTCAGGACCTACTCATTCGACTCCACCGTCTTGTCGTCACAGACGAGAGGACGAGCAGATTTTTCAAGCCCTGGCTATGAGGAACGATTACAAATATTACATCACTATGAAAAAAAGGGCACTTAAGGCGGTGCGATATGATCACAATGTATAAATACATCAAAGGTGGCCATATTGACTGTAATAACCTGTTCTTTCTAAGGTCCCTAAAGAAGACACATGGCCATGATTTAAGATTGGACAAAAAGAGGTTTAATCTTAACCCCTTCATGACTGAGCTAGTTTTCCGTTTCTGTTCAGAAATGACTGACACACTTTTTAAATTTTTACTGTGTGATTCTTCCACGTCAGTAATATACTTTCTTACTAAATGTACCCACACATATTATATATTGTTTTTTAGAGGACAGATAGGTACACATTTTGATATAATTATATAGCCCTAACGCCTCACTTAGTTTGAATGAAATATAAAAAAACTAGAAGAAACATTTTTTTTTTGTCAGTTTATATCAAGCAGTCACTATGACTGCTTGAAGGAGAGGAGTGAACGAAAAAGATTTTTTTACCCTCTTACAGCAAATTGGCCTACGCTTGTAGGGCTCGTTTTACAAAGACATAAAACACACGCTCACACACGTAGAAAGCTTGATCTTGATGGGCCTGTGTCTTTTTTTTTTCTTTCAACTATGTAACTATAAGTCAGTCTATACCAGGGGTCAGCAACCTGCGGCTCCGGAGCCGCATGTGGCTCTTTCATCCCTCTGCTGCGGCTTCCTGTCCATGGGACCAGTCCACCTGAGGCCCTGCAGAGCCCACCATAGAGAGTCTCAGATGGGCTGTGCAGGATCTATGGTGTGCTCTGCAGGGTCACTCTCAGGTGGGCTCTGCAGGGTCTCAGGTAAGCCCAGAGTCTAGTGCGTTACTAAGCCCAGAGTCTAGTGCGTTACTATGCCCACATATACCTATACATAGCATAAAGGTAAAAAAGGATATATGCAGTGTTATCTTCATTTTAGATGACAAAAGGGTTTTGTGGCTCCCAGTGTTTTCTTTTCTGTGGGAAACTGGTCCAAATGGCTCTTTGAGTGTTTAAGGTTGCTCACCCCAGGTCTATACAAATGTAATAAATGTTCATAGTGTGTGTCAGGTCTTCCTGGGATCACTCCTGGAGAGAGACATGAGTGAAAGGTTACATAAAAATGATATAATTGGCTTTTAGGAAGCTCAGTTTGTTTTGTATCCCCATCCCATTTCTACTAAGACTCACCTTTTTCTCTGAGATGATGCTTTGGCTGAAGATAACGGCATCTGGTGGAAGTGTGTGAAATGTAGGAATGACATTTTAGGTTTCCTTTTTTTTCTTCCATGATCATATAAAAGGAGAATTGTTTTTCAGTAGGCTAACAATTGTTTTTTTGGCTGTATTATTAATATATTGGCTGTATTACTTGTCTGATTATGTTCTCTTGATCATATTTTTTTTCTAATCTAAAAGTGCAATTTATTTATTTTCTTATTTAACTACCACACTACAGAACTAAAGTGCGTTTTTATGATTTGTGTGGCAGAGTTTGGCCTTGCCAGACTTGTAAAGTTGCTGAGAGGTCCACTTTAAGAATTCATTGGATACTTGGAAATATATGTGCTACAGGAAGAAAAGTTCTTTACTCAAAAAAATGAATCCTTTTGTCTCTCAGATTAATTTTCTAGCTCTAAGTGCATATACATTTTGGCATTCAGAAAATATATAATGTTGGGGGGTTTTACGTCATTTTCAGGCCTAAAATGTGGAATATAACATGGGTGCAAAAATGGAAAAAAGGGCCTCAGTCATGAAGGGGTTAGTTAAGACAAGGTGGAAAGATACTACTGCAGCTTCTAGATCAACAAAGGAATACCAAGTGAACATAGCATGAGATTATGTAAACTTGTATGCAACCTGAACTTTAACCCCTTCCCCAGTCGATAACGGGATTACTCAGTCAGGGTCTTTCAGTTCACTAAAGACCGGCGACCGAATAAGCCCGTCATGCGGTAGAATGAGGGCTGGTCCGTGGAGGATTCAGCGCTCATTCAGTTAATGCTGTTGCTGGGTCCCCCAGTGTCCGAGGCAGACCCTCAACAGCAGATTAGGGGTCCCAGCACTGTGATCACTGTGATAGCCACTGAGCCGGTTTGCAGCTTACGATGTTGTGGAGCTGCAAGTTGGATCATTGTATTACAAAAGTGATACAAAGTATTTCTGAGGAGAATACAGCGTCTCATCAGAATACTTTGGTATAAAAAATCCATGTAAATAAAAACCCCTTAGTGCCCCCTAGTTTTAAAAAAAAGTTTTAAGTTTTTTTTAATAAAAAAAAAAAAAAAAGTTTTTTAAAAAAATGTTTAATAACAAAATAAGAAAATATAGTGATTAGACGGCTATTAAAGATAGGAGACAAACATACCACATTCTAAAACTGTATTTCACGCCTTGTATTTTGTGACCTATAACTCGCAAAATGCATGTGTTGCATCTAATGAAAGCCCATTTTGTCCTTTAAAAGAACGGTATATAATATGTGTAGGTGCAATGCATGAAGGGGATGGAAAATATGGTTAAACAAACACCGCAAAAATGGCAAAATTGCTCCGGTCCCCAGGAACTAATAAATTTTCTAACGCTATGTCACTAAAGGGTTAATCCGCTCAATGACCAGCAGACTTGCTGACTTCTAAAATATCAATTGAATGTCATTTCATGTTCATGCAATTATCTGAAATGGTTATCTATATATCTTTTTTGCATATCAGGAAATCCTCAGGAATGAACACGCAAGGCAGGAAGTAAGTGCCAAAGTACAGGATCTTATGCAGCGGGAAAAACAACTGCAGGGTATAGAAGACAAAGGACTTCCCAGGGAGCCAATGAAAACACAGGTTTTAGGACACGCCTCTGCTTCCGTTTATGGCAAGCACACCCCCTCCGAAGAACCAACTAGTACTGCTGGCACATTTGAGCCTGGATCCTGGAACCCGCAGAAAAAGTAGCACAACCTCTGGAAAACAGAATAGTGTTCCTTGTTCCGGGACAAAATGTATTCGTATTTCATTACTGAAAACAACAATATATAATATTGATACTACAAAGTCTTTTTATGATTGAGAGCTAGTTATGGAATATGTGATGCTCGGGCCACAAACTGTGTGTATTTTTTTCAGCAATGTGTTCAGCATTGCAGATCTGATTTGTGGGTTATAAAGGAAAATTGGATAATGTTTAATAGTCAGATAAATCGGATTCAATATATTTTATCAACAGATAGCTGTCCATCTTCATCATATTACGTCTACAATACTATGTCATCCACGATATGGAGGTCACAAAAGTCCTTGCTGTCTTAAAACACTGATATTTTTAGAATAGAAGAGCTCACAGATGTAATTCAATGCAGCATATTAATACTTTTGCAGAGTAATCTGTTGTTACCCCAGCACACCCCCAAAGTTTTATACTTGTATTCATGTTCCTTTTGAGATCCATACTGTCCTGTCCATGAGATACCAAACAGCTTTCACTGCAAACTCTCTGGCCTGTCCCCTGCTTTCTTTGTGCCTAAAAATTCCATTCATTCCTTTGGAGAGGTCGCTTAGTGTCGGGACCCATAAGAAGTGGCCTCTCCAGAGGAATTATTGGCATCCTCTTTGTGTATACACAGAAGTAAGGGACCAGCATCAGAGTTTGCAGTGCCTTTCTGTGGGATTTTGCAGAAACATGGACAGAGTATAAATTTGGTTGGCTGGTGGCTAACTTAAAGTGACACTAAACTCAGGAGTGAAATCTTCACTATTAACAAATATGTATCTTACCTTAAATCATCTCTGTATTGGTGCTGACATCTAACGCTATGTCACTAAAGGGTTAATCCGCTCAATGACCAGCAGACTTGCTGACTTCTAAAATATCAATTGAATGTCATTTCATGTTCATGCAATTATCTGAAATGGTTATCTATATATCTTTTTTGCATATCAGGAAATCCTCAGGAATGAACACGCAAGGCAGGAAGTAAGTGCCAAAGTACAGGATCTTATGCAGCGGGAAAAACAACTGCAGGGTATAGAAGACAAAGGACTTCCCAGGGAGCCAATGAAAACACAGGTTTTAGGACACGCCTCTGCTTCCGTTTATGGCAAGCACACCCCCTCCGAAGAACCAACTAGTACTGCTGGCACATTTGAGCCTGGATCCTGGAACCCGCAGAAAAAGTAGCACAACCTCTGGAAAACAGAATAGTGTTCCTTGTTCCGGGACAAAATGTATTCGTATTTCATTACTGAAAACAACAATATATAATATTGATACTACAAAGTCTTTTTATGATTGAGAGCTAGTTATGGAATATGTGATGCTCGGGCCACAAACTGTGTGTATTTTTTTCAGCAATGTGTTCAGCATTGCAGATCTGATTTGTGGGTTATAAAGGAAAATTGGATAATGTTTAATAGTCAGATAAATCGGATTCAATATATTTTATCAACAGATAGCTGTCCATCTTCATCATATTACGTCTACAATACTATGTCATCCACGATATGGAGGTCACAAAAGTCCTTGCTGTCTTAAAACACTGATATTTTTAGAATAGAAGAGCTCACAGATGTAATTCAATGCAGCATATTAATACTTTTGCAGAGTAATCTGTTGTTACCCCAGCACACCCCCAAAGTTTTATACTTGTATTCATGTTCCTTTTGAGATCCATACTGTCCTGTCCATGAGATACCAAACAGCTTTCACTGCAAACTCTCTGGCCTGTCCCCTGCTTTCTTTGTGCCTAAAAATTCCATTCATTCCTTTGGAGAGGTCGCTTAGTGTCGGGACCCATAAGAAGTGGCCTCTCCAGAGGAATTATTGGCATCCTCTTTGTGTATACACAGAAGTAAGGGACCAGCATCAGAGTTTGCAGTGCCTTTCTGTGGGATTTTGCAGAAACATGGACAGAGTATAAATTTGGTTGGCTGGTGGCTAACTTAAAGTGACACTAAACTCAGGAGTGAAATCTTCACTATTAACAAATATGTATCTTACCTTAAATCATCTCTGTATTGGTGCTGACACTGTCCTTCCTTCTGGAGGGTGGCTACTTTTGGTCCCCGTGGTCCCTGCGTGTGTTGTAAAGTAGCCACTGCTCCAAGATCACTCCCGTGGTAGACTACAATCCCATGTTTAGTTTACTCACAGGAGTGAGCTTGGAGCGGTGGCTACTTTACAACACACACGGGGAACAACAGTAGCCCCCCTCCAGAAGGAAGGACAGTGTCAGCACCAATTCAGAGATGATATGAGGATCTACAGCCGAGTGATACACAAATAAGATATACCAATAGTTAGGGGACCTGAATGTATTAAGATTTAACTACTGACTTTAGTGTCACTTTAAAGGAAAACTTTACAAAGTTTAGTATCCTTTTAATGTAGGTGTGTTTTTCTGTTACTGACAGAACATGTACAAGCCATTTTAAAAGTGTTTTAAACATTTGGATCAGCCATGTCCTAATGGCATTTTTTGGCCCACATGGAGTCCTCTAGCTTCTTCCTAGTGGCCGTATGAGGTTTAAAATTTAAACTGAACAAGGCCACAGGCTGTTCTGTAGTTAATAAAAATCTTATCTTACGTATGTAGCTTTACAGCTCTATACTTCAGGAAATGTTTAACCCTTTCTCTGTGGCTCTTCAGACCTAATATAGCCCCTTGATGATGTCACTCAGTTTAGCCCAATGTTTTCAGTTGCGTGCATTCAGTGGAATCAAAGCTTGGACATGTATAATATAATGACCTGTTTTTGAGTGTTTTTATGCTGATGTGTTTCAGATTTCCTGTTATTTGAAAAGTACTTGTAACAAGGAGGGTTGCCACCCGTCCGGTTTTGGTGTGTTGTGTCCGGGTGCCTAGCCAGCGGGCACCCGGACACAAGACACTCAGTGCCGACATTAGCACTTTAAATTTTCTGACCGAGGTCCTTTTCAAGTGCGATCTCGAGCAGCTGCACCGCCCGGATCTTCCTCTGAGCTGCGGGCAGCCTGTGCCTGTTTAAAGGTGCCCGCAGCTCAGAGAAAGATTCGGGTTTCAGGCCGATGTGGCTCTTTGCAGGCTGCCGCAAAATCAGCTTCTCATATGGCTCAAATGTAAGTATTTGAAATTGGCTCTGGTATAAACCTCTTTCGATCTGCAATACAGCAGCACTCAGAATGGGCGAACAAGTCTGCTGCTGCTCCTTTAGTGTGCAATCAGGAGACTGGGTGCATGCTTTACCGATTTTCTTGACCAGTGCAGTGCAGTGTGAATATGTGCCTGTGCTGTCTGAACAGAATTGAAATTCTGTAATTATATTCGTGGGAAGATTCACTTCAATCGTCCACTTACAGGTGAAACTCGAATAATTAGAATATCGTGCAAAAGTAATTGCAGTAAGTGCTGCAAAAGGGGCCCAAACCAAGTACTGAGTACATATGCATGCTTGTACTTTTCAGAGGTCCGATATTGTTCTATGTACAATCCTTGTTTTATTGATTGCATGTAATAATCTACTTTTTTGAGGTTGTGGATTTGGGGTTCTTGGGGTTTTCATGAGCTGTAAGCCATAATCATCACAATTATGACAAATCACGGCTTGAATTATCTTGCTTTGCATGTAATGAGTCTATCTCATATATTAGTTTCACCTTTTAAGTTGCATTAGTGAAATAAATGAACTTTGCACAATATTCTAATTATTCGAGTTTCACCTGTATATGTAGATGAATTTAGTACACAGGGATATTCTTCTCACATGATTGCATAGTTGACGTGATTCTTTACACAATTTATTGTGTGAACCATCTAAAATCCTTTAGTAAATCCTTTGGTCACCAATCCACAGAAAGGATGTCGTTGAGCTGGAGAGAGTCCAAAGAAGGGCAACTAAACTAATTAAGGGGATGGAGGACCGAAGCTATTAGACAAGGTTACTAAATTTAAACTTGTTCACGCTGGAAGTGAGGTGATTAAGGGGGGG